TCTCTTCTGTTTCCAAGTGAATTTTAAGAATGTTTTCTCTAGATCTGTGAGATATGCTAATAGTATTTTGATTGGGATTGCATTAAATCTGTATAACAGGTATGGGAGTATGTGCATTTTCGCAATGTTGGTTCTTCCTATCTATGAGCAAGGAATATCTTTTCATTTTCTGAAATCCTCTTCAATCTCTTTTCTCAGAGTATTGTGATTTTCAATGTATAGATCTTTTACTTCCTTTGTGACTCCCAAATATTTCATTTTTTATGCTATTGTGAAGGGTGTGGTTTCCCTAATTTCTCTCTCAGTGAGTTTGTTGTTTGTGTACAGGAGTGCTATGGATTTTTGACTGCTGACATTGTATCCAGTTATGCTACTGAATTCGGTTATTAAATCTAGAAGTCTTCTGGTGGAGTTTTGGGGGTCTTATATGTAGAGTATCATGTCATCTGTGAATCATGATAGTATAATTTCCTTTCCTATCCTTATTCCTTTTATTTCTCTCTCTTGTCTAATTGCTCTGGCTAATGTTTCCAAGAACTGTGTTGAGTCGGGGTGGTGGTAGTGGACATTCTTGTCCTGTTCCTGTTTTTAGAGTGAAAGCTTTCAGTTTTTGTCCATTTATTATGATGTTAGCTATTGGTTTGTCATAGATGGCTTTTATCAGATTGAGATAAAGACCATCTATTCTGATTTTCTTAAGGTTTTTATCATAAATGAGTGTTGGACTTTATCAGAAGCTTTTTCTACATCTATTGAGTTGATTGTGTAATTTTTGTCTTTGGCTCTGTTGGTATGGTATATTACATTTATTGATTTGCATGTGTTGAACCATCCTTGCTTTCCTGGGATGAATCTCATTTGGTCGTGATATAATCTTGATGGTTTGCTGCATTCTGTTTGCTAGTATTTTATAGAGGATTTCTGAATCTGTGTTCATTATAGGGAGATTGGTCTGTAGTTCTCTTTTTTGGTTGGGTCTTTCTCTGGTTTTGGTATCAGGGTAATACTTGCCTCCAGAGGGGCTGGGGATTTAGCTCAGCGGCAAAG